CCTCCTCCTCCTCCTCCTCCTCCGTGTTCCAGTCGTATTCCATAAAGTTGCGTCAATTAGCTTGCATGGAATTGGTCGGCCACATGTTCCCGTGCGAAGAAGAACAGACAAATATGAAATAAAGTGTGAGATAGAAACGAAGGTAGAAGTAGACCTTTCGCTTCTAGAAGTAAAAATGTATTCCAGAAAAAAAGTGGAATTTACAAACTCCTGTTTCACTGGAAGCGTTTTGTGTCAGATTTCCTCCGTTTTATCAGTGTACTGGGGTGGAGAAGGGGGGAGGGTAAAAACAAACGTTTTTAATTATTCCTTTCTGAAGGTCTAGTAAATATATCCAAAGCCAAATTTTGAGTTCCAGCTCAAGCAGAATCAGTAAGTTGAATACATTTTTCCTCCATAAAATTACATCATTTTGTATGTTGACACACGAATTGTCATTCCACCCTGTAAACAGCGACACATCTGCACTGCTTCTTCACTTGTGAAACTCAGCAACCGATGGATGCCTCTCCTCTCTCACTTCATTGGCTCATCATTTCAGTAGCTGGGCATTGCACCAAGGAGGGTAGGGGGTTGGCAAACACTTCCTCCTTTTTTCCCCTTTTTCAACCATTGTGAGTTGTTATGACTCACCAGAAAGAGGCGAATGCAATCACACAAATTCCTCCCTTTCCGTTTTCCTACTCCTCAAATCCGACAAGACTGACAGAAGAGGTTTGTAAATTTTGTCCCCATTTCATATCATGCTTTTTTCTGTGATAAATTGGGCTAATAATGTTGTTATTACTCCTAGCTACAGATATTTATTGGAGTATGCCATAATTTTATTCATATCTTCCTCTCTATAAAAGTAAATGACCTGGTCGGGACATTACTTTGGTTTACATTACTTTTAGTTCACTGAACTTCTTTTAGGTTGGGTTAAAGGGGGACTGGGTTTAATTTTGTTACCAGGTTTAATGCTCGTTGCTAGGGCAAGGAGGGTAGGGTAGCCTACAAAAACAAACAAATGTACAGACGCCGAATTTTGGCCTACAGTACTGATGCAACTGCGATTTAGGCGAATTGATAAAGCCCTCGTGGTCTTAGATGCCTACTTCCCGCCTTGAAGTGCTGGTAAAAATAAAGGCAAATTATGATAATATTTCTTTAATATGTGGGAAATAAAATCCCAAAGAATGAGTCATTTGGATTGGGATTATATGCACAACTTACCTAGCTACGAATCGGTAGGGCGATGGACGAAACTGGCACGGATACGCAGAGGACCGCTTTCATGACTGCAATTTACGCCTCTGTGTCGGTCGCCAGCGTACCCTTGTCAACTTGCCACTCGATCACCCTGAGGGTACCTTTGTTAGGTAATTAAAACACATCATTGATCATACATCAACGAAAATTTAGTGGTTCAGGTGTAAAATTTCATCCCATATGAAAGTACCGCACGTAAGACCATCCCCAGTCCCCCCCTGCTCCCCTCCTCTCTCCCCCTGTCACTAATCCTGTCGGTGAAAGCTGGATTTGGGAAATTCCAGTTCGAAAAGTGATGCAGTGTAACCGACTAATGGATTTTAAAATTTAAAACAAATCATTTCTTTTTTACAATCCCGCAATACCTCTATTTCACTTTCGTTTAACACTCCAACTTGATGGTGGTCAATTTCGACAGCTTACTTTCACGATGGTGGAAATGTACTTGTCAGTACTGGCAGGACGAGTTCGAAAAATTACCTCACGACATTATGCTTGAAATATGGGAAAATAAAGTGAAAATGACAAGAATAAACCGGCTGACTGCTGAGTGAATTCAAAGTGATTGAGGGAGATGGTAACCTCCATCCCATTTCACAATCCGCCAATCGGAAAGTGCCTTTAGTTTGAAGAGAATTTGATGATTGTTTAATTGTGGATTTGCATACGCAGGCTTTTTACTCTATACGGCCAATACTTCCGTTAATAATAAATCGCCTCTTCTTGGTGGTAATGACTTATCAGGAATTTGGGGAAGATTCGGTGCATTCCATTAGCGGTACCATCAACCAAACGCGATCCAAAAGGGTAAGCACTCTGATCTCTTTGTTTAATCATTAAACATCAAGGGCATCTACATTCAATGATTGGGACCTTAGAGACCCACCACAGAAGGCTTATCGATACCCCTTCCACCTTTGATGGTCACCACGATCTCTCGTTCGGCAAGAAGGCAATTAACAGCAGTTCCTCCTTTACTCCTGGATACCACCGAAAAGAGAAGGAGGCGGCAATGAGCTAAAGATGTAGAATATTAGCTGTAGGAAGTTACTTTAGGTTATGCCGCATAGTAAATGGTTGGACTTTTAGGCAAATGTTCGCTAAAATAGGGAGTAGGATATGTAATACGTTCGCTATGAAGCGCCATCTAGTCCCTAAGCGACTGAAAGTCAGTAAATGCTACCGCTTCGCTGACGTTGGAATCGGATGCCTTTGTGGCGCCACAAAAACCAAACGATTATTATTACGAATGTGCGAAGAATCCGTTTTTATAGTCGAGACAAGGGAGTGCTCAAGAGGAGCACCGAAGGGAGCCCCACAAACTCCTCATCCCTCCGCCATTGGACCTCCGTCGGGTGGCCTGACTTTCGGGCCCCGCCGGAAGGCCCAAGTCCTACCACATGTTAACAATGCGTTATACGTCTTCTTTTGTCCTCAGAATTGCCCGAGGGAGCTAAACAACGATAGCATTTTGATTTTTCACCTCAAAATTTGTTCATTCGTCCTATGTTTTCCGCAACTCACTTAAATTGCGAACTTATTTTACGTACTCGCAACACCCATCCACTGAAAGCCCTTTCGGCTGTGAAGCGAAATTTGACTTTTTTGCTGCGATAAAAATTGATAGAAGTGATTATTTCATGATGCAGAGCAGCGCGGTTTTTTGCCTTCTTTTTTAGTAAGTAGATAAAAGTTTAACTACCTCTTAACAGGGGCATTTTAGAACACGCCCCAGTTGGCAGTGGCAGGAAACTTTTTCACCAAATAACTGTAACGATTCTAATAATTGTTTCGCCTTCAACCTGTTCATTCATTGTGAAAATAATTTAAAGCATGTTTCAAAACTGGACTAACTGAAAGCGGAATTAATCTTTGCAGTTGATTTTTCCATTCTAACGCGAAAATGTAGAGTCGACCATCATTTCATGATTTAATCTGTCTTTAAGGTTATTATCTTAAAAAACGTCAGTCACAAGGGCCACTGGACTTTGATTGGCATTTAATAAAACCCTATGATCCCCCTTTTCCGCCTATTTTTTTGATTTGATTTGATTTGATTGGTTTGAGCCAGTCCAGACATTTCTTGTCCAAGTATCAAGCAGTAGTTGTAGTGCGTGAGTATGCGCGGTTTCAACAGCGTGTCTGCAGCGAAAGACAAAGTATCTCAACAAGTGAAAAGTAATGCCCCGTCGCCGGTAAACCTATTTGTATTTAAAGAAGGCTTCAAGGCGGATGCAATACGACGATGGGGCGCTCAGCCGCCATAGCTTAAATGCACATACCTCAGAGACGTCTGTCCATCACTAACAATCCAGGTCTTGACGGAGGCGCTTCTCAGACCCCAGTCTAGGCAATCATTCTTATGAACATTTAAGAGGTGAAATGCGTGGTCAAGACACATGTATTCTGGGACGGATCATCTGTACTGCCATAAAACTTGGCAGACACCAGGAAAAGTCTTTTGCAGCCCCATCTGGTGGAATTAAACCCTAACCAGCATCAATTTATGAGGTAATTTGGGTTCTGTCAAATGATGGGTAAATTTTAAGACCTCGGTTTATTTGCTAAAGGTCTCATGGGTTCTCTCAATGTTTTGTAAACTATCCATAAGGTTGTCAATGAAGCCTTTGTGAAACATCTCACTTACACAGCTACAAAGATCATTTACATAAATCTCACAAGAACAAACAAAAGAATTTGATTCGATAACTTGCAAGGTAGTACCTTCTCTCCCGACCGGAATGTTGGGGGGGGGGGGGAATGTCACACTAAAATCTGTAGATCTTGATGAATCACTGCGGCTGTCAGTCCTTGTCATCATTAAGGCTTACCAGTCATCACACCTTATCTTGTCAAGCAATGTCATTTTTTCAACTCTATCTCATTATAATAAAAAATCCTCGTTTCTTTGTGCCTTTTTTTCTGTAGGAGTCGGTTTTTATTTATGGTATGCAATTGGAAAATGATCAGGCATGCATCTGTATCCAAACTGTGTAGGTAAGTAAATAAATGAGTCGGCTATTGTTCAGTCCGGAGGCGGTTTTTATTAACTTGGTAAATAAAGTACAACGATTAGGAATTTGAGCTTTGATGGTTCAAAAATGAGCTAATCAGCTTCCAATTAGAGATTTCTCAAGTAGACAAGGTAGATTTGCTTGTTTAATCATTACGAGGTAAACCAATGTGAACTTGACAAGCACTTTTAATTTCAACAGCTTCATGAATACAGAAATTTGGGGCTAAATAAACTTTATCGAGGGATGGATGGGTGGATAGGGAATGGATTGCTACGCGATGAATGAACGAATGGGTGCAGAATGGATGGATGGATACGGGATGTTCGGCTATGGAATCGATGGATAGATGGATGGAGGGATGAATGGACAAGTGCGTGGGTGGATACGGGACTAATGGGTAGGTGGGTGGATGAATGGATGAATGAATGAATGGTTGGACGGGTGGGTGTATGGATGGATGTATAGGAATGTGGATGAATGAATCGATGGCTACAGGACGGATAGATCCAAGGTGGATGATTGAATGGATATAGAATGGATGGATATGTGGATGGACGGATAGATGGATGGATAAGGGATGGGTAGGGGATACATACAGGATGGATAGGTTGATGCTGCCTTCCCTCATTAGACAACTGCATGGTCATGCACGAAATGGTAACTAAGCTGATAGTCACCACTACTGCCACCACCTCTATCTTTCCACCAGTAATCAAAAGCAACTTTTCATGGAAAATCCTATCAAACCACACCTGCACGAAATCCAAACTCTACAAGTCAGCTATCATCCTTAACCACTGCCATTTGCAGTCAAAATTGCGCAATTTGGCAATATACATAATTATTGTCCAGCAAACTCGGTTCATTTGCATAGGTCGATTTGGGAGGTGGCTACTCAGTCACCAGGCGGTTGATTCAATTAAACCAAACCCGAAATCCTGCCAACTGCATGAGTGTGTGTATGTGTTTCGGCTTTTGGATTTACTACACAGGAGGCAACGCCTTGCATCATGCACCAGAAGCGGCCGTCTTCTCTTCTCCTCCCCATTGAAGACCTAACTATAAAGCACAATCACAAATGGGTCATTTAAGTTACTACACCATCGGGGGCACAGAGCACGAATGCCAACTGGGATCCAGGTACCTTGGGAAGACTTTCACAAAAGTTGTAGAACAGCAACTGCCAAATGTCAAAAAAAAGATTTGTAACTTACCCTCGTACATGATTTGTACTGAGTTTTAGGGTTAGTAGCGTCATATTTTTATGCCACTCAAGACAGAAGAAGTGGATTGCTAGGAAAATTTCCTCAGGGCTCACTTTCCAGAGGCATAATCTTCATACTTTATTTGTGTTGCATCACTCTGATGTGTACCGTTGGACCTAACAAATCCAATTTTAGCTACAAAATCGAGGTCGAGGTGTAAAATTAATGAGATGCCCGTACATTTTTAAAGTGAATATTGCATATCAACTAATTGCTCAAGGCAGTTCATGCCTTAACTATCAACTACGCAATGCGTGGATGTCGTACTGACAGTAAAACCCTCAGAAATGATGCTTTCATAGAAGCCATTTTAGTCACCTAATATTCGGTTAGTCCGGAGGTTTGCCTCATCACATTATCGAATACCATCACTTCTTCATAATCATAGGCACTGGCAAAGTACTAGCGATGGTCTGTGTGAAGGGATTATAAAGCATTGTTGTACTTTAGTCTACACGGCATCCTTTCTAGTGCCCTC